AACTCTTCCAGTTTTTCTTTTACATGTGACCAAAGTGCGTAGTAATCATCCATGTACCGCATGAGTACTGCTGGTTGTAGCGGTGCCATCTTGAAGTTCTCTTCTATTCTGTTCATGTATATGTTCGCCAAAACTGGTGAGAACGGCTATCTCATGCGATGTCCAAATATCTGTTCATAGATGTTCCCGTTGAATGTGAAATAAGTGATCCTTATTGTCAAGTTGATTAGTCTTGTTAATGACATATCATGATCCGTTGTGATTCCAGGATATCCTCCTCTCGGTCCAGGATTTCCAGCAGGGCTGTTAGCGCATTTTTCTCCAGATATATTTGTTTACATGGATTCCACATCGAAACTTACCAATAAGTCCGTTTCTTCCAGTGCCATTTTTTTGATTTTTTTAGAAAATTTATATGAATGTTTCACAGTGTTTGATAGCCTCTCATTTACTTTCTTGAGTTTCAAACGAATAGACTTTGCCAATTTGTGCGTTGCTCCATACTTGTTGCTGATTATCAGCTTTAGTGGCTCGCCTTCTTTGTGCATTTTCGGTAAACCGTAGGCTGTTGGTGGTCGTGCATCCTTTCTTATGATTGAATTTCTCGTCCATGCGTCAATTTCCCCATTTCTATACATATCTTTCAGCATGTCACTCATGATTCCATTAATCTTTATAGTTAGGTCCTTGTTTAGTATATGATATGTGGTCCTGTCTCGTAGAATATGTTCCATCTTCTCGATATATTGTTTTTTGTCCATTATAACTGTAGCTCCTCCTTTGTCCGTTTCCAGGGTTTTGTGTATCCTGGCAAATCTGTTCCTGTTTGTTGGATCCTGATGTGTCAAGATCTTTGGAATTAGTTCCATCCCCATTTCCCGTTTTGTCTCCTCAGGTAACTTGTCGGAAATTGTGATAACCTCCACTAGGATGTCTCCTAGAAGGCTTCTGTTATGTTAAATAGAAAAATGGAGTCATTTTTCCAGGAATGCAATTCTTTCGGGTTGAGAGGAATTGATGTTAAGTGTAATACTTTCTTCCGATCGCCGTGCTGATCAGTAGGTGTTGTCACCTCGGGAGCCACTTCACCTGAGTGTACTGGTTTTAACTTAGGCTGTCTTATAATACCAAACTTACGCAATTTATCATCATTCCATTTTGTTATTAAGTCAGAAATCCCTCGTGATTTCCTGTCGGTCATGCTCTTGTGTTTTTGAAAGTCTTCCGGATACAGGATCCTGGCCAGATCATGCCGGATCTTTACTTAATATCAATAAACCTAAACAGCTTATTTCTCTCGGTAACATAAGTCTCACTTAGTTTCTAAATAGACTCCTGGTGGAGATAGCCTTATCGGAGTGGTAGGGTCTCTTAAGGTCACATAATATTTAGATGATGGGTGAAAAATAGTTTGCTTGTGGTTGCTTGAGTGGCTACTACAAACCCGTAGATCTTCACTTCATGATAGGGTGGTATAAAGAGGCTAAGATCTTTTTAAAACTCCTTTTCTAAGTTGACTGAATGAGTTTGTGGTTCAGTTCAGACTTTCGAGAGAGCTGTGTGCTGCTGAATATGGAGAGGCTATGAAATGCTGGAGGCTATCTTGTATAGATAAAAACTGGTTTATTTTTATATTTTTTTCTTACATCCAGTTTGATTTTATTTTTATTTCGTTTGAATGTGAGGAGTGATGATCAGAGTCGGGCGGCTAGTCCGCAGGATCTCGATGAGCACATAAAACAGAGCAAATGAGGCCATAGTCTCATCAAAATTGAATGTGCCAGGCGCTGATTGTCGGGTTAATTTATAGTTAGGATCTGTTTTTGTAAATAAGGCGCAACTCTACATAGAGCGCAACTCTA